CAAATACAACTATTTAACAGTTTATTTTAACCATCCAATGAGAGAGAAACAACTTAAAAGGATTCATACTGCCAACAATCTTTTTTTTTTTTTCTCTTCTTCCCCTCCTTGCATGGCATTTGTTAGAAATCAGGATTTTTCTTAACTAAATGTCTTGTGGTCTCCTTAGCTTTGTTTCTTAACAGGGTTGTCTTTATGTTAGTTTTCTTTGGCTTCCCAATAGAAGAGTAACAGATTTCTTTTGAAGTTTTTATTGATGAATGAGCTCCTATAAATAACTCTCTGTGGCAGCAGCTTGATCTCAGAGTTTACTCTGGAATAATAGTAGCAATGGGAATGGAGGAAATTTATGGCAGCATGACATGAAATAGTTTAATGGGCTTCATACTGTTTAACTTAATCTTTACAGATGTAAAAACAGAAATACAATTATTGTAACAACTATTATTACATATTGCTCTTCTAAGGAAAACAGAAACTCAGTAAGCAATTGGAGATAGGTAGTGAAGAATTAGAGGGTCCAGCTCATCATGGATTTGGGAATTACTGGGTTGGACCAGTGGATTTGCAAAGCCTCATCTGGAGAGCTCTGGGAAGGATGGGTCTGCAGGTGGGATTTGGCACTGGCAGGGGAAACTGAGGCATGGGATGTAGGTGCTGGAAGCTGCTAAAACCAGGGGAAGTGGTGGAGCTCTGACTTTGGAAGGAAGAGAAATCAACCCTGTGTTTTATCCCTTATCCCAGCGGTGGGCTTGGGGAGGAGCTGATCCCAATCCCACCAAAGGCAAAGGGGGTACTTGGACACATCCCTTGTGCCTGTGAGGGGCACAGCTGGAATCCTCCCACTCCAGGAGCAGAAACACTCCACTCACAGCAACCAAAGGATGGCAAGGATGGAGGGAGGTGATGAAAACTCACCTGATAAAAGAGAATTTAACTGTTTATCACACGTCTGCTCATCATGGCTTTGCTCAGGTCTTTCAGACAACGTCACTTGAGGCAAAGGTGACCCAGATATGCCTCTTTAAGCTGTGGAAGTTTAGGAAAGTGAAAAGGAAAATCATCCAGTTCTCTGTCTAAACGTCCAGCCCAGAGGCCGGCTGGCATTTCACCCAGCCCAGCATCCAGCTGGGGGGATGTCTGAAACAATGTGCAAGAGGTGGGTGTAAAATCCAACGTAAGAATTACTAGGAAAGGTCACAAGCCTTAATCCAAACCTGAGATTTGGCTGGTGGCCAAGCCCAGCTCCATTTGCTTCTCGGTGCTTCGCAAAGAGCTTGGGTAAATATTGAAACATGTTGGTGCTCTGCGTAATTTCTGTAAAGAAAAAAAAAAAAAAGCTGACAGCTTTTGTTTCCTCCTTGAGGGAGCATTATTTGAAACCAAAAACTGCAGTGAAAATGATCAGCATTGTGCATTTCCAACTGCCTGTTCAGTGGGAAATTTGGGTCCTCCACAACGCTTTCCAACCCACGGAAATCACCCGTGCGAGAAAGAGCTCGCAAATTCTCCCTCGATTCCCAAAAATGTGGGAAAGTTTATTTATTTCTCCATGCATTCCTGATTCGCAATGTGCTCTCTAAAAATGTCGCTGAGATTTAGGCTAACCGAGCTCATGCTAAATTTAGCAACTATATTTTAAATAAACATTCTTTACGCTTTGCTGAGCCGGCTTTGAAGCTGGGCTTAAAACAAATCGTGTTCGCATGAACATGAGCAATGTTTGACTTTGGCCTAAAAGAACATCTGAATAAGTAATAATGTATTATTCGCCATAATCCGAAAATGAGATTTTAGAGGTCTCATTCAGTCAATTTCGGAGAGATTCCTGTGAGGGATAGCAAATCAGGCCTGGATTATTTCTGGAAGGGCTCGTTCTGCTCTCTCTGACCACACAAAACTTCCTTCTGGTGTCTTGTTAGACACTGGAGCTGCGAGGCTCAGCGAAATCAGCTGTGACTTAGCACGCACTGCATTTGAGGAATCTGGCCCATTTTAAAGCACTTAATGATTTGTCTGGATAAAGCACTAAAAATATACTGTGGGGAGCAATTATGCAACGTCCAGACTGATGGATTGCATAACCTCATAGACCTTTTCCATCTGTAACTTCTCTCATTCTGTGATCTTGTCTTCTTGGTCTTTCACTTCAAATCAAATATGTGATCTGTGTAATATCCTGAACGCTGTCTCCAGGGAGATCTCTTCTCTGGGTGTGTGGGGCTATGAATCAAGCGAGGAAGCAGATCCTTCTTCCCTTTTTTGCTTTGGGAATCGGCTGCTCCTCACAGCAGGCTCAGGAGCAGTCAACAGGAAGGCAGAAGGGTTCGGTGTGGAAAGGGATGGTCCCTCCTTTGTGTGTTTTCTGTGGTAAAGAATGGAAAGAGAACTCACTTTTAGAATGAGGGAAGAAGAAGAGGCTACAAAGTCCCTCAGATTTGTGTCACCTTGGAATCAGGCATGGACAGCCACCCCTTGAGTGACAAACCCTGAAAGTGGTTTTTGCTCATGCGTAAATACTTGATTTTATTTTATGCATGCGATGAGACCAACTTTAGGAGAACACACACTGAGCCTATTTAAAGACTGGAAGCCCCATTTATGAGGAATTAAACTCCTGAATTATTTTAATATGCCCAATTTTTAGTTCCCCTCATAGGAAACCCACATTTGGAGCAAAGCCCCTCTGGGAACCAAACGACTCCTCTGTGAGCCTCTCCCACTCTGTGATCTCCCTGCTCCTCGCAGTTAAAATTGGCTGCAGAGCTCAGAGACGAGAAACCTTGCTGGGTTGGGAGAGGTCATTCCTGTGCAGAGGAAGGGGAAGGCATCTCCATCGCCCACACAGGCAGCGTGCTGTTTATTCTGCATCCTGGGCTACTTCCACTTCCCCCCAGTATTCCAGACTGGTGTTTATAGCCAGCCCTGAGAGGTTGGGAAAGCCAGGAGGAGGAAGATTCCAGGGATGAGTGAAGCACTGGCTGGCAGTTCCGTGTTTGGCAGCTGCTTTTTTGGCTTGTGAAGCAGGTGTGAAACCATTGGCACCCATTCCTTGCAGCTTCTCGGGTCCTTTTTTTTCCCTGGCAAAAAAAAATTCACATGGATGTGGAGAGGATTAAAGGATGCTCAGCTCCATCCAAAGGGCAGGAATTGGTGAATTGACTGCACACTCATTGCTCTGCTGTTGTTTTTACTGTGTGTTTTTATTTTATGTTTTTACTGTATGTTTTTATTGTAGCATGACTTCTCCCCTCTCTATAAACAGATGACGTGCAGAAGCCATGTGTGGTTACTCATCCAGCCTGCTGGCAATAAGACCCTTTTTCTTGGTATTCATCCCCCTGTTACAGCACTGGCCTGATCCCAATTAATTCCAAATTGCCCCTCAGAACTGCTCACTGGGTTCTGAGCTCATTGGAGTTAGTGTCACTTTTGTGCAGAGCATGTTAAGTTTACTAATTTCGCTCCCTCAAGCGAAACCAAAATCAAGCTCAGTGTGGCTTTTAAAGGCTGCAGCTGTACTTGGTCCCACTCCACTCCACCAAAACAGAAATGAGATCAAATGTCAAAGCAAAGCTTCGCAAAGAAACAAATTCCCATTGCATAGAAAAAGCTGGGTTACCAAAAAAAAAAAAAAACCCAACAAAAAAAGCGTCTGTGATAAAAATATACATCGTGTATTAAACTGAGACTCACTTTTTTCCCTCACTAAAAAACTGCTCTTGTGCAGAAAGGGCTTGGACAGGGAGGAGTTCCACATGTGTGAGCAGGAAAGGAATAAAAGCCCTGTTTGCAGGTCCAAAAAGGGGTTTGGGGGCTGGAATAGGAGCTGAGAGGTGACACAACTGGGGGTCACAGCCAGGAGGCCGAGTTAGGAGAAAGGGAAACAGAGGAGCTGAAGACACAGATTAAAAGCAGGGACTGAGAGCATAAATACGAAATTTTGGGGCGTGAAACCTTTGCATGGGCCAGGTTGTGAGGACACCAGGGGTGCAGGGTCCCTCCTTGTGGGAAGGGCTTGATGGAGACCCACCAAACAAATCCTGGGAGGCAGCACCCCACCCTGAGCCCAAATCCCCCCACAGGGGGTGCAGGGGGAGTCTGAGGTCTCTGCTGGGCTCATTTTCCTCCCCCTGAAGTTCCTGTGGGTGATGTCCCCTCCCAGACCCCAAAGGGGCCAGTGAGGTCAGTGCCAGCCTGGAATGGAACCTCCTGGCCAGGGGACACCCTCTGCAGCTGTCCCTAATGCCACACGGGGGTGGCACACGGGGAGCTTGAACCCTCCGAGCACTCACCCAGCCCTGGGAATTGTGGTGGGGACTGAGCAGTGGCACCTTCACAACCTTTTGGGAGTGTTTCTTCATTTTCTAACTCACTGCCAGAACTTTAAACAATGGCCTCAATAGATATTCAAACAGCAGCTGTCAGAAATAGGAAGCTAAGAAGGGATTTTAGTAAAATAAAGTCTATCTTGCAAATGTGATTTAAAAAAATAAAATATACTTTTAATTCTCTTTTTTTCACATTGAGAAGCTACAGCTCAGCCTATCCAGGGATTTGCCTATGACCATCTTTTTTTTTTTTTTTGGGGAAGCTAAATAAGAATTCTCATGCTTTGGAGATTTTTCTGTCCTTCCCCACGAGCTCTTTGCCTTGGGCTGAAATGGCCAACCCTGGTCCAAACATGGAGGACCTGATGCCAACCTTCCTCTGCAAAAACTGAACCAAAACTCACCTGAAAACCCCACATTTCCAATACCCAGGTGCTCATTTAAAAGCAAGCTTTGCTTTTGAGACAGAGTGGGTTGAAAGAAGGGGAAGAAAAGGAGAAACAATCATTTGGGGAAAGATTTCACCCATTTCAAGGAACAGGCAATTTCCCAGGAGCCTTTTTGTAGCCTCTCCCATCTTTTTGTGGCCCATCATGTCAGCACCAGGCCCCACTCCTCCATCCTCCAGCACAAGCCAGGGGATGTTCCACATCACACCAGCCACAATCCTGAACAAAAATACCTTTATTGGATATAGGTTTGGTTTCATAATGAAAATTGAGAATATAATTTTTTTTCCCAAAAGGGCATTTATCCACTAATATACAAAAAGCCTCTATTTATGGCAAACAAAAATACAAAATATTCCTGATTTCTTGCAATGTGTCAGGATTCTTCCTTCTTTTCAAAAAAAGAGAAAACTTTAGAAACACAGTTGATGTCCCTCTTTTTTTTTGTCCTTTTTAATTTTTTTTTTTTATTCAGGTATTTGTCCTGGCCTCCACAACCCTGCCTCAGTCTTTTTTTGGTCAGAAGCAACCAATCCCAGTAAGAGATGGAACAAGACAAATCTCTGTGTTTGCTCATCCATCCCCATTTTTTGGCCACATGCATGAGCAGAAACTCTGTGAGGATACTCCAAGGCACCAATGCTGAGCAGGAAAACCAGTTCCACACGATCAAAGCAAGCAGGAATATTCAGGATGAGCCTGGATTGCTCAGTTCTGCCATGAGTTCAGCTCCAGTTACCCACTGGGAGGATTGGGCCAGTGAGGAATATCAGGAATTATGATGTGCCTGCAGGTATTCACGGCAAAATTACGGGTATTATTAATTCCTCTGGGTATTGATGGCAAAACAAAACTCAGCCTCCTCCCCCTGGGATGGGGCTTGGCTTTCAAAGGGAAAATAAAAGAAGAAAACAGAGACCTGAAGGGCCCGAGGGAAACCTGGTCTGAGGAACCTGAGGGATGCGAAACTAAAGGTGCAGAGCAAAGCCCACGGGAGAACAAAACCGCTTTTACCTTCCAAAGTCGCTCTGGCGGGGGCTGGGAGGCACCCGCAAAAGAGAGTCCGCAGCAAGACGCGCCTTGAAAATGCCCTGAAATCCTGAGTCACCTTTAAAACATCGCTTTGGGGGTTTTGGGGGTTTGGGGGGTTTTTTTAGGTCTTTACCCGCGTGGTGAGGTCGGAGTCCGATCTCTCCCTCCCATCGCGCCCCCCGGAGCAGCAGGGCCGGGATGGAGGGGGGGCATTAATGATGGGGCGGCTACTGGAAATGAAACACCGCCTCGGAGAAGTGCAGCGGGAAGCAGGAGAGGAAGGGGATGCCGATGTGATAAAACCTCCCGTGCCCCTGGGAGTCGAGCAGGAGGGAAGCATTGAGGGCCGGCCCGAAGGAGCCGCTGGCCAGCAGCGAGCCGGCGGGACTGGCCCGGGCCGCTTTGGGGGCAGCCCCGGCGGGCGGCGGCCGCAGCCCCTGCTCCAGGATGCTCTCGATGCTGAAGCTGCGGCCCCGGGGAGCGCTTTTGAGCGGCGGGGCGGCAGCGGGGGGCACCGGGGCCGGTTCTCCCCCGGGGGAAGCCGCGGTGCCCCCGGCCGGCCGCGGGACCCCCGCGCTGCCCTTGGCCCGCTTGGGCTCGACGGGGCGAGAGGGGGGCGCCGGCTGTTCGCCCGATTTGGGGTCCGGAGCTGCCGCGGCTTTGGGCTTCCTCTTCCTGCGGCGGTAGTTGCCGTTCTCGAACATGTCCAGGCAGCGCGGGTCCAGCGTCCAGTAGCTGCCCTTGCCCGGCCGGCCCTTCTCGCGGGGCACTTTGACGAAGCAGTCGTTGAGAGAGAGGTTGTGGCGGATGCTGTTCTGCCAGCCCTGCTTGTTGTCGTGGTAGAAGGGGAAGCGGTCCATGATGAACTGGTAGATGCCGCTCAGGGTGACTTTCTGCTCCGGAGCCTCTTTGATGGCCATGGCGATGAGGGCGATGTAGCTGTAAGGGGGTTTCTGAGGGGGGTCCTGCCGGGATATCGCCCCCCCTGGGGTGAAACCGAGCGCGGCGGGCAGGTAAACCATGGATGGGCTACCCAGGGGGGAGAGGTGGCTACCGTAGATGTGGCTCATCGCCGGCGGGCTCGCAGCTCCGCTTCTTCCCCCTCGCAGCCGAGCAGGGCAGGAACGTGGGACGAGTCCACCGGGGAGCTGTTTGTGCGAGCTCAGCTCCCAGCCCTGCCTGAAGGAGCTCGCTCTGCCTCTGTCCCTGCTTCATAGCTCTTAAAAAAAAAAAAAAAAAAAAAAAAAAAGGGAGGAAAAAAAAAGTTAAATAATTGTTGTAAGTTTGCTATTATATGTTGACTTAGCGCTGGAAAATAAATTGTCTCTGATAAACAGTCGTTTGTGTTCTCAGCCCACCCACATTAATTAAAATTTCATTGCTACAAAACTCCGAGCTCTCTCCACGTGTCTCGCTGGTACCAGCCAATGGTCTCCGGGTTATTCCTTCATTTGTTTATAGAATTAGTCTGTTGATAAGTCTGCCCACCCAAGTCGAATCAAGCTGTGTTTATTTGGAAAAATTTCCGGGCACCCAATATATAAACGCACTGATCTGATGTTTGAAATATCACGTCCACCCTTTGACGCTGTAAGCACACACAGCAGAGCAGGATGTTCGCTGCTGGAGCTGGGGAGCAGCGGGCAGGGATCCCCGCAGCAAAACCGGGGCATTCAGCAACACAAAAATAAAAAAAAATAATAATAATTGAAGAAAGGAAGAGAAAGGGGGGGATGAGGGGAGGAGGCAGAGCTGCGATGGCGAGGAAGGGAAAGGGAAGGGGGATCAGGTGTGGAGGGGACCGGGGTTTGCACCCCGAGGAGACCCCCGGGACGGGCGGAGGGGGACCCCCAGTGCAGCCCGAGACTGCAGCAAAAGGGGAATTTGGCAGGCCCGGGGAGGAGGGTCAGTATTTGTGAATGCGGGCCTGTTGCTTTATATTATGTACTTTCCTGTTTATAACAAGGAGGGGGATTATAACAACTTTACAAGTGCACACAGCTGGCCGGTGCTTACATTAGGAATTTGTGATGCTCTTTTTCTGTATAAACGTCCAGGTTTGGGGCTGTGTTTTCTGTTGTCGGATTTTTTTTTTTTTTAATTTACTGACGTAACAGCTTTAATCCGAGGCCCCGAGGGATTCCGATACAGTTGGAGGTGTCGCCTGTGTCCCCAGTCCCCCCGCGGGTTTAGACCTGCGGGACCCCCTGTTCTGTGGAGCATCCGAGGGAGGGAAGAAGAGGCCTGAGGGGGATCCTTTTCTCCTTCAAAGAGAAATATCCCACGGGGCTGCTGAGATTTTTAACCCGGCAAGGGAGGAGGTAAAAGCCGAGCTCCGGGTGTCCCCCAGCACCATCCGGCTCTGGCGATGCCATCCCCGAATTTCCCTGCGAATTCCCCTTCACCCGTGGGGTTTGTGGCCCAGTGCCGCTCCCCTGCCGGGAGAAGGATTCTCATCCTCGGGGTAAAACCCAGCGCGATGCTGTGGATCTCCGGATGGGTCCTGAAAGCTCCAGGAAAACGCAGCCGGGGTGCTCGGGGAGGGGCTCCTCGGGCGGGGGTGTGGGGGTCTCCCCTCTCACTGGCCGGGCCCACGCGTGGGTGGGGAACTCACCCCTCTAACACCGCCCTCGCCCGGAATTCCGCGTTCCTCCCGCTCCCTGCGCATCCCCCCCGGCCCCCGGGAGCCGCAGCACCCGCCCGCCCTGCCAAAAGCGCAATAAAACCCCAAATAAATAAAAAGAGAAGCGAAAGGAGAGATTTGGGGGCTCCCCGCCTGTCGACACTGGGGAGCAGCACGCCCGGGGAGCCTCCCCGGCCCTGGAGCATCCTCGGCGGGGAGGGACGGAGCAGAGCGCCGCTGCTCTGAGCCGCCCGGAGCATCCTCAGAGCAGCCGGCCCAGGGTCTTCCCCCCTCACCCTCCTCCTCTCCCCACCTCGGGGAGTCCCCCGCTGCTTGAGACACTCCAGGCACGGATTAGTAGAACAATAAATACTCGCGTGTACGGCAGGAGACAGTCACAGGGCTCCCGCTCTCTCCCCGAGCTCCCTCCCCCAGGAAAATTCTTGTTTCCTCCCTTGTTTTCCCCTCTTGGCGGTGGGAAATCCTTGGAGGCGGGGATGCGGCTTTTCCCTGCGTTCCTTCTTCCCTGCTCATGTGCTGCGTGTTATCCCTGTTATCCCTTTCCTGCCGGCGGCATCGCTGGAGCTCTTCAGCCGCGTTATCCGCACGGGATCGGCCTCCGAGAGGCTCCGACGGCTGCGGGGGGACGGGGAAGGAACACGGGGGGTTCTCCTTGATGGTGTTGGTACCGTCGCTCTTTTCCTAAACAGAAAAAAAAAAAAAAAAAAAAAAACACACAAAAAAACCCCAACAACAAAAACAAAACCAAAAAAAAATAAACAAACAACGCGAACCGGCGATGGAGGCGCTCCTGGATGGGTTTCCCCTCCTCTCCAGCTGACGAGCCCCTTTTAAAGCAGCAGCGAGGAGAGATCCCGCCCGGAGCCCCCGGAGGGAGCAGGGCGTAAATGAGCTCTCCCCATTCCTGCTGCATCCCGGGGAACGGGGGAAGAAAGGGTGAAAATCGGTGATTCCCAATCCTGATCCTTCCCGGGAAATGGGGGAAGAAAGGGTGAAAATCAGTGATTCCCAATCCTGATCCTTCACGGGAAACGGGGGAAGAAAGAGTGCAGATCGGTGATTCCCAATCCTGCTGCATCCCAATTTAGGGGGAAGAAGGGTGTGAATTAGAAATCCCCATTCCTGATCCATCCCGGGAAACGGGGGAAGAAAGGGTGAAAATCAGTGATTCCCAATCCTGATCCATCCCGGGAAACGGGGGAAGAAAGGGATGCAAATCAGTGATTCCCAATCCTGCTGCATCCCAGTCTTTAGGGGAAAGAAGGGTGTGAATTTGAACTCCCCTTTCCTGATCCTTCCCGGGAAACGGGAGAAGAAAGGGTGCAGATCAGTGATTCCCAATCCTGCTGCACCCCAATCTTGGGGGAAAGAAGGGGTGTACATCAGTGATCCCCATTCCTGATCCTTCCCGGGATGGGGGGAGCAAGCCAAAAATCAGAGCTTCCCCCTCCTCCTGCATCCCAATCTTGGGAGGAAGAAGAGCTGTACATCAGTGATCCCCACTCCCTCTTTCGTCCTGCCCGGGGAAAACGGGGTGTAAATCAGTGCTCCCCATTCCTGCAGCACTCCAGGATGTGGGGAACAGGGCAAAAAACCGTGCTCTCCTCTCCTGCTGCATCCCGGCATGGATGGGAGCGGGAATGGGAATCCGTGTTCCCCATCCCAGCCTGGAGGGGAGCGGGAATGTAAACCTGTGTTCCCCATTCCAGACTGGAGGGGAGAGGGAATGTAAATCCGCGTTTCCAATTCCTGCTGCATCCCAACCTAAGGGAGAGTGGGAATGTGAATCCGTGTTTCCTATCCCAACCTGGATGGGAGTGGGAATGTAAATCCGTGTTCCCCATCCCAGCCTGGAGGGGAGCAGGAATGTAAATCTGTGTTCCCCTCCAGTCTGGGATGGGAATGTAAATCCGCGTTTCCCATTCCTGCTGCATCCCAACCTAAGGGAGAGCGGGAATGGGAATTTGAGCTCCCCGCTCCCGCTGCATCCCGGCCTGGAGAGGAGTGGCAATTAAACCCGTGTTCCCCATTCCTGCTGCATCCCAACCTAAGGGAGAGCGGGAATGTGAATCCGTGCTCCCCATTCCCGGCCTGGAAGGGAGCAGGAATATAAATCCGTGTTCCCCATCCCAGCCTGGAGGGGAGCAGGAATGTGAATCCGTGTTCCCCATCCCAGCCCGGAGTGGAGCAGGAATATAAATCCGTGTTTCCCATCCCAGCCTGGAGGGGAGCGGGAATGTGAATCCGTGTTCCCCATCCCAGCCTGGAGGGGAGCGGGAATGTGAATCCGTGTTCCCCATCCCAGCCCGGAGTGGAGCAGGAATATAAATCCGTGTTTCCCATCCCAGCCTGGAGGGGAGCGGGAATGTGAATCCGTGTTCCCCTTCCCAGCCTGGAGGGGAGCGGGAATTAAACCCGTGTTCCCCATTCCTGCTGCATCCCGGCCTGGAAAGGAACAGGAATATAAATCCGTGTTTCCCATCCCGGCCTGGAGGGGAGCAGGAATGTGAATCCATGTTTCCCATCCCGGCCTGGAGGGGAGCAGGAATGTGAATCCATGTTTCCCATCCCGGCCTGGAGGGGAGCGGGAATGTGAATCCGTGTTCCCCATCCCGGCCTGCAGGGCAGCGGGAATGTGAATTGGAGCTCCCCGCTCCCGCTGCATCCCGGCCGGGCTCCTCAGGAATGCGCGGACGGCAGCTCGCTCCGGGATCAGGGATGTATTTATTTCCTTCTCTCCCGGCCTGCCAGTGCCGGTTATGGATTTTCTACGAAGTCCCTTCCAAAATGACAGGAGAGCTCGTGGCCATCCCCAAAAAGCGCTGGGCCGGCGCCGTCCCACGGAGCCCAGGGAGGGTGGGATTGTCCGGGAGGGACGGGAGGGCTCCTGCTGGGCTGTGCCGAGGCCTGGGGCATTCCTGAGGGAATGGGATTCACCCGGGGTCTGGAGCACCAGGGAAACCCTCCCTGGACTGGGCTATGGGGACGAGATGAAAACCGCTGCCTCTTCTCCCCAAGACCGAAATTGTCTGGGGTTTCGGACAGGTTGGCGAACTCGGTGGTGAATGGTAATACAAGAATAAATAAATAAATTAGGAAACCCATCCACCGTTCTTATCCTGCTCCCGGAGCCACCCTAAGCCCACGCAGCATCATCAGCCAGACTCCCGGGGCCACGGCTGGTCCCGGACCTGCGGGGACAGGGACTGGGGGGGTTGTGCTGCTCCTTCGGGGGGCTGCGAGCCACATCTGGTCCTGGCTGCCTTCAAAAGTTACCCCGGGCCTTCCTCCCTCCTTCACTTCTTCCTTCTTCCCCTCTGCTCCGGCCAGGCTGGAGTCACCTGTCGCGACAGACTCCGATGGCCGTGCCGAGCTCCCCATGGCAGCTTTTAAACAGAGTCCCCAAAGGGTCCTCTCGCCTCTCCTGCGGCACCAGCCCACCCCAAAATGCTCTCGTGAGACACCAGCAATGCTCCCTTGTGACACCAGCCCACCCCAAAATGTTCTCCTGAGACACCAGCCCACCCCAAAATGCTCTTGTGAGACACCAGCCCACCCCTAAATGGTCTCCTGAGGCACCAGCCCACCCCAAAGGGCTCCCCTCCGACACCAGCCCACCCCAAAATGTTCTCCTGTGACACCAGCCCACCCCAAAATGCTCCCCTGTGACACCAGACCACCCCTAAATGTTCTCCTGAGACACCAGACCACCCCTAAATGCTCTCGTGAGACACCAGTCCACCCTAAAGGCTTCCCCTGTGACACCAGCCCATCTCAAATGCTCCCCTGTGACACCAGCCCACCCCAAAAAGCTCTCCTGAGACACCAGCCCACCCCAGAAATCTCTCCTGGAACACCAGCCCACCCCAAAATGCTCCCCTGCAACACGAGCCCACCCCAAAGGGCTCCCCTCTGACACCTGCCCACCCCAAAAAGCTCTTGTGAGACACCAGCCCACCCCAAAATGTTCTCCTACGACACCAGCCCACCCAAAAATGCTCTCATGAGACACCAGCCCACCCTAAAATGCTCCTCTGCAACACGAGCCCACCCTAAAGGGTTCCCCTGTGACACCAGCCCATCTCAAAATGCTCCTGTGAGACACCAGCCCACCCCAAAATGTTTCCCTGCTACACCAGCCCACCCCAAAGGGCAGAGGGGACGAGAGGGTCCCGCCGGGACCAGGAGGGGAAAGAAACACCAAAAAAAAGGACTTTTTTGGGGGGAAAGGGATGCCAGGAACTGTCCAGCAGCAGCACAGGGGGAGGGCACAGAGCCCTGGGGGTGTCCCGGGTCCCGCATCCCATCATCCCATCCCTGCCCGGGGAAAAGGGTCCCCAAATTCCCAGTGCCGGGAAGATGAGGGGAGCGATCCCGGGATTTCTGGGAAAACCCACAGCAGGCACAGCGAGCCCGGGATGCACGCAGGAAAAAAATCCCACGGGAAGAATTCTTTCCCAATTCATATTTCCCCCACACCCCCTCGCTTTTCCTTTTATTTATTTTCTTTTCATCATTTTGCTCCCTTTATTTCCCTATTTTTTAATCCTTTACGCTCTGTGTTTTCTCTTATTTAGAGAGCACTTTGACATTTATTGCATTAAAAATAATAAAATATATAAAATTAAATAAAAAGCACCCTCTGAGAGCCAGGAAAAACGGCAGGGAGTTCTTTTACAAGAATGTTCCTTAAAATACAGATCAAGTGAGGTTCAGACATTTTTTTTTCTCATTGAAATCGAGAATTTCGGTGCTTTTTGCCAGCTGTCAAGCGCAGGCGAAATTTAACCAGTCAAAACCAATTTAGATCATCGATTTCAACAGCCTGACCTGGGTACAACGAGTCCCGAAACCCCCAAAAAAAGAAAAAAATAGAAGTTTTGAGGGGCACTGAGGGGCTGCGGGCACTGGGATGGGGTGAACAGAAGCGTTAATAAATGAAGAAAAAGTGAAAATCAGCCAATTCTTCAACCCGGAGAGGATTTGAAAACTGAAATGAGCCTCGAGTGAACTTTCAACATTTCTAAAACTCCGCAGCGAGGCCGGCAGCACTCGGGGTTCTTTTCAAGAAAACCAAATAAATAAATAAAATGGATATATATATTTTTTTTTTTTTTGAGGGGTTTGTTTTGTGCCCTGGAAAGAGGCGGCTCCGCGCAAGGACGGGGCGAGAGGAGCAGAAATTCCCCTCCCTGCGCCTCCTCTTTTCCTGTTTTCCCCATGGCAGGCCTGGGAAAACTCCCGAAATTTCACTCTGGCAGGGATTTAGGAACGAGGGGGTTCAGCCCCGCCGTGGTTTTTCTTTTTTCCCCCCTCCCCACTTGTACAATTCCAGCTCTTCATATTAATTCAACCTTTTCTCCAAGAAAGAAACCTTCAGGAAAAATCATTTTTTGTTTTAAAAACAATCACTGCCACGTTTTCTGCGTGGAAGAAGAAGAAAAAAAAACCTGTAAAAAAACCCGAATTTATACACAGAGAAGCGCCAGACTTGGAGCAGAAAAAACCAGCATGGATTTATTTTAAGGTAAGTACAACAATTAGGACCACATCAGACAAACGAACTTTGAAGCAGGTTAAAGCAAATAGTCCTTAGGAATGGTAAAGGTGAAATCTATTATACAAAACATCACACGTCGTAAATAATAATAAAAAAGTATCAGATACTTTGTCTATTTTTTTCT